ATGTTTCCCCCTTTAACTTTGGGTGTCGGGTATTTTGTCTCAGCAACAAGAGGAAAAATAACTAAGACAGTGAGTCATCATACTTTTACTCCCTGAGAGAGCCAGTATTTGGGCCATGCTGAGGGCCGGCCAGTGTTGGCCAGAAAAGCAGCTAGATTCAGCCAACAGGGGCCACAGCTATGGCCAGCGAGGTCAGGAGTCACAAGAGTCACTTGTACTCAGCTGTCATACAGTTTTTATATGTTATACATTCATTTTTTGAAACAGGGTCTTGCTAGGCAGTTCAGGCTGGCCTTGAACTCACTATATAGCCCAGGCTGGCCTCAAACTCACAGTGATCCTCCTATCTCAGCCTCCTGAGTACTGGGATTACAGGTGTGCACCACCTCACCTGACTAGACCTAAATATTTTGAGAAAGGAATCATGAAGTGGAAATGGAAAAAAAAAAAAAGCATTTTAGAGTCAGCTGGTCAACCCTTTTCCTTAGGAGTCAGGTCCCAGTTTAAACCTGAGCTGTTGGGGGAGGGGAGCAGTGGACTTGAAGTTAACATTTAAGACCAGGCTGAGTTTTAGTAATCAGAACTGATTGGAGAGTTAGGTAATGTTTAGACATTAAGGGACAAGAAAAACAGGTTTTTTGCTTTTGTTTTTGAGACAGGGTCTTGCTTTGCAGTTCAGGGTATCCTTGAGCTCACTATGTAACCCAGGCTGGCCTGGAACTCAGAGATCCTCCTGCCTCAGCCTCCCAAGTGTTGGGATTACAGGTGTGCACCACCACACCCAGTGAGGAAAACAGTTTTGACAGCATGATCCAATCCAATAAGTGATTAGAAAAATAGATTTTTTTTTTGGTGGTACTGGGAATTGAACTCAGGGCCTCTGCACTGAGCTACATTCCCAGTCCTCCCTTCTTTCCTTCCTTTCTTTCTCTCTCTCTCTCTCTCTCTCTTTCTTTCTATTTACAGACAAGTTCTTTCTAAGTCACTAAATTGACCCCACTGGGCTCAAACTTGCAACCATCCTGCCCCAGGCCTTAGGGTACTGGTATTACAGACATGCACCACTGCGCCTAGCTTTGTACTGCTTTATATTGATACTTCCAGGAGCTGACAGTTCCCAATTAACTGGTTGTTAGAGAGACTGTCTGAAAATACCCAAAGCCCAAGCTGAGTCTTTTGACTCCCAGTCTGGTGATCTGGCCCCCTCCATTTACACAACATCGCCCCATTGCTTCTCGGGCTTTTGGCTAAGATCAAGTGTACACAACATCGCCTTTCCCAGAGAGTATTGGATAACAATGTTCGCCCTCCTTCCGATCCCACTGCAGAGGTCAGGACTTAACCACTACTCTACATTTCAGTGTTACCGACCCTGGCCAAACCTGTTGCTCTAGCAACACAGTCTTCCCATTTCCAAGGTCAAACCGACCTTCAGGAATGCTGTCGTGGCAGAGGGAAGGAAACAGACTCCTCCCCGTCCTTTGTGTAGCTGTAGAGAGCCCCCTTCTTTTCTAGGCCCCTCCAGCATCCACCTCAAGCCTTGTTGGAGGGAGCAGCATAACCTGCAGAGCCCATGTCCCCTGGTGTGCGTCTGAGTTTCACCCTCAGCCCTGCTGTTTAGCTGTGTGACCTTCAGCGACACCTTGCCCCTCCTCAGCTTCACCTGTAAGATCAGTGGTTGCACTGTGACCCGCCTCATGACTGTGATTCTATTACTCTATGGGTGCTGGCTTCAGTGGCTGACTTCAGTCCTTGCAAGTAGTTTGGTTTTTTGCTTTGCTCAGTACCCAAAGGCACTGGCACAGCCAGGAGACAAAGCATGCCAGATAGCGCCCCTGGCCGCATCATCAACTGCCCGGTAACTAGGAGACGAAGGCCACTCAGGCGGTTGGAGGAAGAGCCCAGGAGATGCCTCACACACTCCCCTTTGCTTTCCTACTCTCCAAACTGTTTGCATTTTCCCTTGCAGGCGGGAGCCCCTTGGCTAGCTGAAGTGGGGGAGCCAAGGAATACCTTGTGCAAGCTGAGAACTTTGAACGTGTTAGAATCGCTGTTAAGCAAATTTTAGATTTGCACCTTTTTTTGCTGCACAGCCCGTAGTTTGCTACCTGGCCTCTAGCTCTGGGTCCTCCTGGGTCAGCTTCCAGAAGGCTGGGATCATGGGCATGTGCCACCGTGCCTGGCAGAACTTGGGTCTTGCTAACTTCCGTTCTGCCTCAGAGGATACTCACCCACCTCAGATAATCACACTTAACTTTAGGGGCACAGTTTACAGTTCATAAAGAGCTTTCACTATGGTTTCTTCTTCAGTGATTTCCGTGTGCCTCTGAGGTTTGTGCATTGTCCCATTCTAATGTGGGAAACAGGCTGACAGGGAAAGCAAGTTGATTCTACTCACTCTGCGGGATGAGGTGGAAGCCGGACACAGGTCCTTTACTCTGTCCGTCTGGGTGGTGGGCACTGGGGCACAGCAACCCACCAGGCGGCCCATGTCACACCAAAGGAATGGCTTTGGGTGTGCTCACCTGTGCCTCAGCTTGCTCAGCTGCAAGGCGGAGATGATATGGTAGCTATAAAGCAAGTCCCGGAAGACTCTAGCTCAACTGTGGTTGCTATTTGCAAAGTAGTCATCTTCAACTGGTAACACATTGATCTATTAAATTGTACTTAGGAGATCCTGGAACCCCAAAGCTTGAACCATTTCATTCGCGAGAGGGAATGTTTCAATGAGCTATGACGGAAAGGAACTAACATTGTGAGCTGTTCATTTTACAGAGCTGGCCCCATGTCGTAGGGATATTTAGTTAACTTCTTTTTTTGGGGGGGGGTACCAGGGATTGAACTCAGGTTCTTGCGCTTGCGCAGCAGGTGGTAAAACCACTGAGCTAAATCTCCAGCCCAAGTTAACTTCTCCATTATATCTTTAGTAGAGAAAAGCCAGAACCTGGCCCTTGGTGCAAGTGAAACAGGACTGGGAATCACCTCAGACAGAAGGAAGCTTCGTGAGCTGGTGTGGCGGTGGCGCCTGTGATCCCAGCACTCGGGAGGCTGAAGCAGGAGGATCACAAGGGGCTGCCCAACCTGGGGAATTTAGTGATTTAGGGAGACCTTGGGCTGGGGATTTAGCTCAGTGGTTCTGCTGCCTGCCTCGCAAGCACAAGGACCTGAGTTCAATCCCTGGTACCGAAAAAAAATTTTTTTTTGAAGGGCTGGGGATATAGCTCAGAGTGAAGCCCTTGCATTCAATCCTCAGCACTGCAGAAATAAAAAGAGAATGTAAGAAAGAGTTATCTGAGCTGGACACACTGGAACATACCTGTAATCCCAGCTCTTCTGGAGGCTGAGGCAAGAGGATAGTGAGTTCAAGAGCAGCCTGGGCCCCTTAGCGAGATCCTGTCTCGAAATAAAAAATGAAAAGAGCTGGGGATATACCTCAGTGTGCAGTTCCAGGGTTGGACTCCTAGTGCCAAAAGAAAAAGGAAGGGAAGGAGGGAGGGTGGGAAGGAGGAGGGGGGCGGGGGAGACTGCTCACCTCATCTGGCATCTAGTGGGGCAGAGGCTGGCCGTGTCCACAGAGCTGGCCCGTCTGATGGTCTCTTTCTCCCCTTGCTAAGATGACTGGTGAGTGGTGGTGGGTCTTTACTTCTTAGTAGGATAAGCACAAGTAGATGAAAAACTCTTGCCAGCAATGGCTAAGAAACCGGTGCAAAAACCCAAGTCACTATTGACTGTCACCTTAGATTAGGGTTAGGGTTGTCAAACTCTTCTGGGCAAACTTCTATTTCTTAATGTTCTGACACTTTTCTTCCTGCACTTTTTGGGTTAAATGAACCAGTTGCTTGAGGCCTGGTAAGTGAAGGGAGAGGTCATTTTGTCTTTGGATAAAGACCTCCTTACAACTATGTGTGAGTATAGACAGGGCAACGTAAGCACCAAACAGCCTAGGACCCACTAAGTGCTCAACACGTGTCAGCCACTATTATAGACACTTCCACAAAGAAATAGGACTGGAGGAGAGGGTCTGGCTGAAGAGGAGATTATCTGGGAATAGTCTTTGCTAATTTCTTGTTCAGGACATAAAACAAAGGGTTAATTGACACTGACCATCTGCCCTTGCTTGGAAAACGTTCAGTCCACTTCTGACTTTTCTTTGCATTTTACATCACTTTTTTGCAACTAGATGCCGTCCTCTCTAAATCCTTTCCCTATTCTTTAGCATCTTGTTTCCTATGGGCTATAAAAGAGTAAACTTGCCTTCTAACCCGGGGTTGCCTGGGCCGCTTTTCATTCAGCAGCGCCCACTGCAGGAGAGATTGTGAAACAGCGGGGGGAAACTGTTGAAGGCTCGGGCGGCTTTGGACGGGTTTATTCCCCGGCCTGAGCTTGGGACATCTTCGCAATGAATACTCTGTTTCAAGCAGTTGTTATGCAAGGAGGTAAGTATACATACGTGAGAGGGAGAGATTACACAGGAGACAGAAAGCAAGGGAGCTGAGCAGCCCGACTAGCACCCCCTTCTCTAGGACTGACCCAGTCTGTGGGATCAGCATGGCCTCTTCCGGGGTGAAGTCCCCCGGCCCTACCCACCTGTCTGTAGGCCTCACCTCCTCAAAGTTTTACCACCTTAGCGCTGGGGACAGAGGTTTCAGGGCACGAACCTTTGAGGAGCACATTTAAACTACATCCAAGCCACAGCAGTCACCTCTAAGGCCTTGCCCCCTGGAGAATCTGGGAGGTTGTGGGCATCTTGCTGGTGATGCCTGGGCTCCCAGGACTCAGTCAGCGGTGCCCACTTGGATAGACTGATCTGCTATGCTGTTCCACACGCCTGCGCTGGGCTGGGCTGACCCAGCCTTGGAAGATCTTCTTTGCGATACTGGGGATCGAACTCTGGACCTTGCGCTTGCCAGGCAGTTGGTGGAACCACTGAGCTAAATTCCCGGTCCTGGAAGATCTTTTTTTAAGAAGAGAAACTTTGTACTCTTTTCTCAGAACCCCTTTATTACCCCACCTTGCTGCCCGCCCTAAAGCCCAGGAGACCCTCGGTAGAACTTGATTTCTGTGTAGTCTTCATGGGTGACCGTGGGCTGCTGGTTCTCCTGTGGCCGGAGGCCTGGGAAGGTGATAGTAGCATAGTGGAGCCCCCCGGGGCTGATCTCAGAGTCTTTGGTGCTGGTGGATGTCTTGGGCTCTGGACAGCCAAGGGAAGCCAAGCGCTGGTCCTTTTGGTTCTTCTTCCGTGCTGGGGAGTGGGTTTCTGGAGACGGGATCTGGGAAGTGCTGCTTGGCTTGGTCTTCCGACTCCGACCCTGAGAGGATAACAAGCATTCACTCAACAAATATTTGAGCTCCTGCCACTCACATGCCTTAGCAAGTGGGGTCCCAGCTGAGAGGAGGACATAGTCCCTGCCCGTGCTGAGCCTGCTTTCTTTCCATCTTGGGGGCAGGAACAAGTAATAAAACAATAAAAAGTGAGCAATAAATGCCATGACAAAAATAAAAAAGACAGTGGAAAGGGAGGTGAGATGAGTATTTATATAAGGCATTCAGGAGACACAATCACTGTCCCTAAGAGACATCTGACCTCCCATGTTCATTGTGACACTTCACAATAACCACGACATGGAGTCCACCCAAGTGTCCCTTGACAGATGAATGGATAAAGAAAATTTGTTGTATACACAGTGGAATATTATTCAGGCACGAATAGGAGGGAATTCTGTCGTTTGTGACAATATGGATGGGACTGGAGGACGTATTATGCGAAATGGACCAGGCACAGAAAGAGAGTAGCACATGATCTCACTCACAGGAGGAATCTAAAAATGCTGTTTTCATTGAAGTAGAGAATGCAGTGGTGGTTCTGAGAGTCTAGGGAGGGGAGGAGGAGGAGATAGGGAGACATTAGTCTATGGATTCCAAGGGACAGGAGGAAAAATTCTGATGTTTGATTACACAGCAGGGCGACCACAGTTCATAATCACGTAACATACATTTCAAAATAGCTAGATGAGGGGATTTCAAATGGTCTCCCCACAAAGAAATGATGAGTGTTCGAGGTGACAGATATGTGAATGACCTTCACTGGGTCATTGCACTCTGTGTACTTGCATCAGTGTAGCACACTGCACCCATAGATAGGCACAATTATGATGCATCAATAATAATAAACAAACAGGCTGTCCAGGGGGGCGCTCTCAGTGTGCTGTGCAGATGTGTGTGTGTGGTAAGACAGGGTGGGTGGAGGGGAAATATCCATGGTAGAGTCCATTGGAAGTTGGGTTTTTAGCAGCTAAGTGTGAAATGCCACATGGGCAGTTGCTTGTGAGGCTGGAGTGCAGGGGAGAAGCCAGGGGACATAAATTTGGGAGTCATTGGTAGGACAGATGTGACCTAACTATACCCAACATTTACTGAACACTTAGTAGTGAGAGAGGAAACCACCCATATGGAATTGGAAACCATATGGAATTGGGCAATTGTTAACTGTGTTATTAGGCAACTATGGGTTAACTAGGTAACTATGCTCTTTGTAGAATGCACCTGAGTAGCCATGACAACTTCTGTAATCTGTCACTAAAGGAGCGTAATGGACTCAGAAAGTCCTGCCAGGACCCCCACCCCCCCACCCCCGCTCTGCTTTGTGTGTGTAAATCCTGCTTGCTATATTCCCGGGGAAACTCCAATGGAATTAAGCCTCATAAATGTAAAAAGAGGTAGATAAAAGAGGCACAAACTGACAGGAGTCACTCGCTGAGCCATCGGCATTATTAAAAGCCGATATGCTCCTTCTTCATGTGTCAGAGTGATCTGTCTGGGAATCTCACGCAGTTTCCTGCTGCAGTAGGGGCCAGGTGCTCTCCTGATTTTTTATTTTTATTTTTGTTTTTGGTACTGGGGATTCAAACCTGGGTCTTCATACTAAACTACATCTCTTTTTAACTTTTTTACTTTGAGACAGGATCTTGCTAAATTTCTAAATTGCCCAGACTAGGCTTGAACTTGAGATCTTCCTACCTCAGCCTCCCAGAGTGCTGGGATTACAGGCACATGTCACCATGCCTGGCTTCTTTTGAATATTTTACAGGTGCAATATATTTAATTCTAGGAGAAAGACAGTTCTGCTACCTCCAGGTTACAGTTCAAGTTGAGGCAGGAAGTTAAGTAAGTAACTTGTTCAAAAATGCATAGCAAAAGAAACATTTGAGCTGGGCAGGCTAATTTCAGAGGTGGCTTCATACTAATTACTAGGGTACTTAATACTGTGCCTCAGCAAAACCTGGATTATGAAATAGTTACAAGCAGTAGTGTCCTTGGTGATGGTAACAATGTAACCACTATGTATTGAGATAGTGCCTGATTCTAATCCTCAAACCAGTCCTCGATGGGAATAGAGGAAGAGATGACTTGGAGGGAGCAAGAATTTGAACTCAGTACTTGATGCTTTTGCCACCTCAATGTCTCCAAGGCAAAGATAAAGAAGGCAGGGAAGTGGTTTGTGTGCAGAAAGGGCAGCGGGTGCTCAAGTCGGGGGACAGAACAGGCAGTGGGGGTGCACGCACCAGGGGCCTGGCGTTAGGGATCACGTTGATGTACTCCAGGATGGTGCTGCTGCGGGAGAACTTGGGTTTCGGGGTCTCCGTCTGGGCCCACCTGGTCCTCAGCGCCTTCACACTGGGGAGGGAGCCGCGCCTTGGCCTGTGCTGCACCTGCCCTTCCCAGCCCCGACCCAGCCCCCGACTGAGCCCCCAGGCCCTGCTCTTCTCCCAACTCACAGGATGAGAAGGAGACAGAGGGAAAGGAGCGCTGTGCCACCGATTCCCAGGAGCACTCCCTTGGATAACGCGGCGGAGACGGGCGCCCTGTCTGCACAGGATGGCAGCGGTGACCATTTCCCTCAAGTGTCTGGTGCCACCCCCCTCGCTGTCTGCAGCCACTTCCTCCTCTAGGAACCACGACTGCAGCCTGGGTGGGTGCCAGACTTTCTTTTCTGCACCCCAAATCCCAGGCACAGGCCCTGTATGCCCCCAGCTCCTGCTCCAACCACAGGGCAGGTCACCTGCCCACTCAGGCCCTCCTCCACAGCAGAACCTGAAACCCCTTGGCCCCTCACCCAGTAGCAGCAGGACAGTGGCCCTCTGGACTCCGTGCACATTCCCTGCCTCGCAGCTGAGCCTATCCCCAGAGCTCAGTCCCCCGGGGAAGCTCAGGGAGCTGTTGGCCCAGGGCCCGGCCCAGCTGGAGGTGACCGTGAGGGAGGCATTGCTGCTGTTCCCCTCCAGCAGCGCCTCCCCGAGCCGCCAGCACAGGGACGGGACAGGCCGGGCACGGTAGGAGCAGCTGCACCCCAGACCCTTGGCCTCCCAGGAGCACCAGGGGCCCAGCAGCTGGGGGGCATCTGTGGGAGGGAGAGGAGGGTCACAGGTGCCCCTTTGCCAGGTCCCCGGGGTCCCCTCCCCACTCACAGTGCACAGAGAGGCTGAGAGAGACACTCCGGGTGCCCAGCGGGTTCTCCGCATGGCAGCTGACTTCCCCTTCATGCTCCATCTGCACCCGGGGCAGCTCCAGGACCCCAGGGGCTGAGGGCCAGGAGGGGCTCAGGGGCTGTGTCCCCCGGGCCCAGCTCAGCCTGGCTGGGGGGCTGCTGTGGGTGACACACACCAGGCGCAGGCTCTGGCCCTCCAGGACGGGCAGGGATGAGCCGTTCCCGAGGATTTCCAGGACTGGGGAGGGCAGAGGCAGAATCTGTGTGTGGCTCCACCACCTGGGCCCCCAAGTGAGCAGCGGGAGGCCCTGGTCCCTCTGTCCCCCTCCTACCTGTCCTGTTTGCTTGGGAAACCGTCACTCTCAGGTCCTCTGGAGGATCTGCAGTGGAGACAGGGGAGAGGCTCTGGAGGGCTGGGCTTCCCTCTGGGCAGAGGATCCATCCCAGAGAGGGAGGTGGTGGGAGGGGACAGGCACCCGCTGGGGCCCCACACTGCCCACCCATGCAGGCAGATGAGAAGCCTGGCCCTGCAGGCCTGGGGCTCCAGCCCCCTCCCAGCTCTGGGACCTGCCCGGCCCCTGTCCCCACCCTGGCCTCCCAGAACAGGGCCCTGGTCACTCACACTGCACTGAGAGCTCCAGGGTGCTGTGCTGGGAGCCCAGCCTGTTCTCTGCCCGGCAGGTGTAGCGCCCCGCGTCCCCAGGCTTCACCCCGGGCAGCTCTAGCCCTAGGGGTCTGGGTCCTGAGGGAGGGGACTGAGCAAGGACTCTGCCCTCCAGGTCCCAGGTCAGCGTGGCGGGGGGCCGGCTGTCAGCAGCACAGAGGAGCCTCAGGAACTGGCCTTTCTGGGCCTCCAGGTAGGAGCCATTTCCCTGGGTGTCCGGGGCTGGAGAGACAGACACAGGGAGAGAGAGGCAGAGGAGAAGGGCTGCAGGAAGTGATCTCCCCACCCCCTCCATGCCTTCCCCAAGCCTTGGCCCTGCCCCACCCTGCAGGCCCTCAGTACCTGACCCGTTGTCATGGGAAATGCTGATCACAGGGTGTTCGGGGGCATCTGCAACAAGATTGAGGGCCAGTTTCAGGGGAGGATGCTTTGCTGTCCACAGGAAGAACTCCTCCCAACACCACCCCTCGCAGGGCTCATACTCTGCACCCTCCCCTCCACGGACCTCTCCAACACAGAGCCCTCTGTGTGCCGGGGCTGCGTACACACCCAGAGCCCACAGCACACTCACAGGCTATGCTCAGTCTGACCGTCCTCTGAGTGCTCCGGCCGCCCCTGGAGAAGTCCACTCGACAGGTGAGCTCGGCATCCTGGTCCTGCAGTCTTGGGGTGAGGCTGAGCATGAAGTAGGGGGCGCCTGGTGGTCTGGTGCCTCCTGAGGCCAGGGCGGGTCCTGCCCAGGAGATGGCCGGAGCTGGGCATTGCTCGGAGTTCCAGTTAAACACGCAGAGTGCAGTCACGGGCTGCCCGGGCTCCAGGGTCTCAGGAATGAAGATATCCGGCTTCTGAGTCAGGTCTGGGAGAAATGGGGCCACCCGGGTGGATGCCTGTGAGCAGCCCTGCTCAGCCCTGGCTTGTCTCCATGGTCCCTCCCCAGTGTGAGAGGCAGGGTGCCCCACCACACTGAATACCTGTCACTTCTAGCCAGAACATCTTGTCCTTGAAGCTGTATTTCACCTTTCTTCCTTTCTCCACTCGGAAGAAGTACTTCCCCTGGTCGTCCCACCACGCGTCTCTGATCAGAAGGGTACAGCTCTTCTCCAGGGGATTTCCCACGAGCTCGAATCGGCCCTGGGTGCGCCATTGCACGTTTCTGTTTGGGTTGTTCGTGGCCACTGGATTTCCCTTGTCCACTTCAGTCCCTTCTTTGAACCAGTAGCCGTAAACTTGGTCAGAGTTCCAGGTGTCCCCGGGGTAGGAGAAGGAGCAGGGCACGAGGATGCACAGGCCCTCCTGCACTGACACCCACTTCTCCACTTCCAGCCGGTATTCTGGCTGCTGAGCCCAGGACCCTGAGGGAGACAGAGGCTCAGCCTACGGCCCCACCCAGCCCCACCGGGGCCCCGAGGCCCGAGGTCCACTCACCGCCCAGCAGCAGGGACAGCAGGAGCAGCATGGTCCTAGGCATCACCTGGACCTGCCCCAGATGAGCTCGTTCTGCACTTGTGCTGTAGCTGATTGTAGCCGAACAGAAGGGGAAGCTGAGCCGGAAGCTGGGCCCTGGGGACTCAGGCATGAAATGAGCAGCTGAAGGGAGCTCCCCAGATGGAGGACTTGCGATCCCCTTCTCTGCAGCCCCCACCCACCTTGCACACCTGTCCTCTCCATCTTGTGTCCGGCTGGGCTGCAGGGCCTGTGAGCATGCAGAGCTGATCTTTCCCACAGCTCACCCTGAGTCTGTCCCTCGGGGCCTGGCTGTGGCAGGGAAGGCAGCTTGGATTGTCCCTCTGGGCCCTGGGTCACTGGGGAAGGAGAAGTGAAAGTCCACAGCGAGTACTTCCAGGGGTCCTGGAGGGGCTGGGCATGGCGGTGGAGGAGGGAGGAGAGGGGCTGGTCCTGTCGGAGGAGAAGGTGGAGGCCTGGTGAAGCTGGATTTCAGATTTAAAAAATGAATCTGCTTTTTGTCTTGGTATAAGGATATGTGAAGTATTCCGTGGCACCTACTTATGTTAATATTTTCTGTTTCATTAGAAAGTCAAGTTTAAGTAGATGTCTTGCTTTTTTTTCTTTTAGGAATTATTCTAAGCCCGGCAACCTAGCATGGTCTCCATCCCACCCTTTACCTCTGTGGTGAGGCAGTGGCCTTCGCTCCCCTAGAAGCTCCGCCCACCCCCTCTTCCGTCTTACAGTTGGCATCTCACTGGTGACATCTGCTGTGATTTGAATACTGGAGCCCACAGCTGGCAGTGTAAAGGGCAGCAGCAGGCCATGTAAGCAGGAGGAACAGACTCCCCGCAGTGTGGGCCCCACACCTGACCTTTTCTGAGAAGATCCTGGGTCAGATAGAGACCCAGTGTTCAGCCACTCAGCCTCCACACACCCATGAACCGGGCACTGGTGTCTGCTCTCAAGAGCACCTGCTTTGGTAAACGAAACTTCTTAGGAACAGAAAAGCACTGAGATGCTCATAGCCCCAGATGATGGGGCTGACATTCATGGGGGACCCAGGGATGGAGTGGTCATTCCCTTCTAGTGGAAGGAAGTCAGGACAGGTCACTGGCAGGAAGCGACCCTTAGCTGTCCTTGCTGCCCCTTGATTCTGTTCTTAACTCCACTGGATCCATCTGCCCAAGCTGATGATATAGAGAACAGTCAACCATCAGAATATGTGCATTCCTTGTCTGTGGATTCCACTAACCATGGATTAAAAGCACTAAGAAAAATCATCTATCCTGCGCATGCACATATTTTTTGTGCCTGTCTTTATTCCCTAAAGAACAATAGCTATTCCCACAGCACTTACATTGTTCTGGGCATTATACGTCACCTAGGGCTAACTGAAGGTATGTGGGCAGAAGTGTGCAGGTTGTACAGAAGTGCCATCATCCTGTACAGTGTAAGGGACTTGGGCCTTCACAGGAACCACTGTCCCGGGGATGCTGAGGATGACTACCACAGACGGACAGAGTGGCTGAAATGACGGAAGTTCAATTCCTCACAGTTCAGGAAGCCGGAAGTCCAAGACCAAGGTGTGGGCAGGGATGGATTCTCCTGAGGCCTCTCTGCCCAGCCTGCACCTGCACCTGAGAGGGGGTTGACCTTCCCCCTGTCTTCACATGGTCTTTCCTGCCTGTGCATCTGTGACTTAAACACTTTGTCTGAGGACCCCAGACAAATGATCTCATTTGAAATAAACCACCTTGTGAATGGCCCCATCTCCCTCTCTGAAGAGTCACAGTCTGAGTTGCTGGGAGTAAGACCTCTACATGTGAGTTTGGGTGTCAAATTCAGCCAATAGCAACCCCTGACCCCTTTGCTTGGGTCCCATGTCCCTTTGCGCCAAGCTGGATGGTCTCTGGGGAGGATCAGGAGGCTTTCTGTTGAGGGACATCACCCTCCACTACGCAGAGCCTCCAGCAGAAGATCCTCTCACAAGCAGAAGTGACAGAGGGGGAGGGTGCCTGGGTCTGGGGGGAGCTCACCCTGAATGAGTGCATTCTAAGCCCCCTGAGTTCTAGTTTCACCCCTCCTGTGCTGTGAGCACCCTCGCACCCCATGGGATCAGTTAGGCAGGAACCAGGGCATCGGCCGTGCCTGTCCTCGTGCAGGCCGTGTCCTGCAGCCCGTGACTCAGAGGAGGAGAGTGGACTCTGCCACCTTGGGGTGGAAGATGCCAGCCCTCACCTCCCTGGCCTCTAGACGCTGACCCCACCTGAGTGTGGCCTCTCACTGGGGAGATCCTGCTTTGAACCTCAGATTGGATTCCTTTCAGCCTAAATTACACACCGAGCACCTCCGAAGCTTAAGTTTGTGTGGGAGGAGCGTTGCGGGGCCAGGCAGGTGCGTGCAGCACTTACTCTGTGCATTGAAGGAGGTCAAGGAAGAGACAGTTTGAAAACAAAGCAAGGAGGGATCCACGCGGTGTTTGGAACCATAATTCTTGGCTGTGAGGACTAGTGCCCCAGGTGGTGCCAGCCCAAGGTAAAGTCCACAGTTGCTGGGCAGACGTCTGGCTGAAGAGGTTTTTGTGTAAGGTTGTGGTAAACCTTTGTGGAAAGCTGTGGTTCTGGCAGTCTGTGTGAAGTCCTTGTTGTCAGCCTTACATGACTCTCTCTCCTTTGTTGCGTTCCAGGTTCATTTGTTTCTGTATTTTTGATAGAGTGACACAAGAGACTCTCTTCTGATACTGACAACTTTCTCCTCCACAGTGCTGGGGTGGGGAGGGTGCCGACTCTAGGACCCAGTGAGGACAGTGTGGGTCTCGTGTCCTCAGCTGAACCAGAGCAGGCCAGCTTTCGAGGAAGGGGTGGAAAGAGAGTGCATGAGGACCCTTCAGCCACCCTGCTGTGGGCCAGCCTGAAGGCAGTTGGCCAGAGTGTCTAGAGTTGGTTCTGAGACCCCCAGCTCCTCCCCTTTACTCTGCAAGGAGCCGAGTTCTCTTCCCAGGTAGATTTCTCCAGGGACGTGTCTTTCTGTAATCACTCTCCATCCCTGCCCAATTTTGCTTCCCTTTCCTACCAAGTCACTCAAATGGTTCCACCAAGATTCCCCAAACCTCCAAATTGCTGAAACCCATAGACAATTTCCATTCTCATTTCCCTAGGGTGTCTCCCTCTCAGGAGCACTGGGCATGCTCAGTCCCTCATTCCTTCATGAAGAGCTTTGCAGTTTGGCTATCAGGACACCTGGAGCTGCCACCCTGCACTGGGCTGGGGCACCGCCCCCGTGTGCTATATGTGGAGGCACCTGCAGGAGCCCTTCTGCATAGGGCGTAGAGGAGGCCTCATGTCCATGGCTTCCTGCCTGCCTCCTAGACACTGTCTCAACTCCTTTAATAGTTCCTCCTCAGTCCCTGACTTCTAAATTTTGGAATGCATCAGGATCCTCTCCCTACACATCCTGTTTCATCTGTGCCTTGAAAACATGAGCCATTGATGTTGATGCTTTGATTTCCGTGCTGTGTTAGGCCCATGTCAGATGCTAACATTTAGGAACGCTGGGGGTAGGGCCCATGGGACCTCTCTCTATGTTTCTTCCCAATTTCCTGTGGCATTCAAAAAGAAAATTAAAAACAAAGCAAAATACATCATCACAAAACACACAACGACAAAGAAGCATGCTGTTGGCTCATAAAATTTCTTTTCAACCCTGACTGTTCGCTGCTCATTTGACACCTACTCAGGGAGGTAGAGAATGAGTATCTCATGTATCACTCGATAGTTACCATGGCAAACTCCTTTTCAGACTTCTGAACATCAGTACTGTGACGTGTCCACATCTGCATAATTTGTGCATCTTCTGATGTCTCCTTTTGGCTCATTTCCATCTACAACACATCTACATTTCTATCAGTTCAACTTACAAAGTGTTCAAATTTGATGGAGCAGACATTACGACAAACAGTATAGAAGTCTCCTCGCCTCGCCACTAAATAAAAACCTGCCGTGTGAGTCAGTCACCCTCTTCTGGGTGTATATCCAAAGTACATGATGGAATCAGCGTCTTACACTCCCGTGTTTCCACAGTACTATTCACAGTAGCCAAGATATTGAATTAAACTGGATGCTTGTAAATGGATGAATGGATAACGGAAATGCGGTGTATGTATGCAGTGGGATTCTGTTCAGCCACAAAAAATTGAAATCCTGTAACTTGTGCCAAAATGAATGGAACTAGAGGACATGATGTTTAGTGAAATGAACCAGAAAAAGAAAAATACTGCATGTTCTCACTTATGTGTGGAAGGTAAAAAATGTTGATCATGTACAAAAGAGTAGAGGAGTGATTCTGAGAGAGTAGGAAGGGTAGGCAGGAGAGGGGACAGAGGGTTGGGATACTGGATACCAACACATATTAAACAGAAGTAAGTTCTAGTGTTCTACAACAACAAGCTGTTGTATATTTTATGACAAAGTAGAAGAGAAGCTCAAAAGCTCCAGAAAAGAAGAAATGATAAGGATCTGGAGACACTCATTATCCTGTTTTGATCATTCCACATTGTATATGTGCACTGAACGATCCCACTCCATCGCAGGAGTCTATGCACTTATCATGTGACACTAAAAAAATATTCACCCATGAGTCCCCACATCTGCTGCCATGGCCTTTGAGCGGGGTTGCTGAGCTTCACACTCGTGACATCTGACTCAGGCACTTCTAGAGTGGGGGCTCCCGGTGCACCCTTGATGCTGAGCAGCACCCCAACCTGGGGTCACTAGATGCAGTAGCATCCCCTCCCGTCCCGATGGTGACAATTAACAATGCCTGTAGGTATTTCTGTTGCCTGTTGTCTCCAGGCCACCACCCTCACGCAGCTGAATGAGTGAGTGATGATGCCCCCTGCTGGCCCCCTTTGGCTTTTCAACACAGCAGCTAGAGTCACTTTTGCAATGTGCATCAGCCCAAGGCGCTTTTTCACTCAAGCATTTCCATGACCTCTCATTTTATTTAGAAGAACAGTCGAGCTGCTCGCTGCACCTGCAAGGCTCTAACGGACGCGCCCCGTTGGCCTCTGCTAACTCGCCCGTGTCCCCGCGCGCAGGCCGCCTCTGCCCCTCTTCAGGAACGTGACCCCCCGTGCTCTTCCAGGGAGGCTCTGCTCCCGGAGGCCCCTTCCGGCTGCATTTCACTCCGAAGCCGCCGCCTCACACGCGCCTTTCCGAATCGTATAAAGCAAGATCCCCTTTCCCTCCCCACGTGCGTCTGAGATGTCTGTGGCTTCTCTGGCCTCCTCAGAACGTTCCACCTCCCTCTATTGTGAGCAGACCACCTCCTGCCACTCTCACTTTCTAGATGCTTCTCAGGCCAGGCGTCCCTCCCACTTTGGTGGCACAGGACCCCAGAGGACAGCGGTGGCCACGGCAGTCCTTCCAGGTAAGCCTCACTCCCGCCTTCTCCGCTGAGTGCGCTCAGATTCTGCCGAGCTGTGGGGTGAGCGGGGTGCAGCAGAAGGCAGCTGTCTGCAGCCAGGAGGGGCCTCGTGAAGGTCCTGACTGCACTGAGACCCTGGTCTCTGACTTCCAGCATCCAAAATGCTGAGAGTCACGTGTTTGTCGTTTAAGAAATCCAGGCTATGGCCTTCGTGACAGCAGCATGGCGTGGTTTGCTTTATCCCCTCTGAGGCTCGTGCTGAAGTGTAGTTCCCCTTATGAGAGGCTAAGTTGAGGAGCCAAGCAAGGCATGGTGACGCAGGCCTGCAAGCCCAGTACTCCGGGAGGCTGAGGCAGGGCAATTTGGCAACTTAGCCAGACCCTGTCTCAAAACATAAAAATAGAAATGGGACTGGGAATGTCGCTCAGCGGGAAGGCCTGGATGCTTCCCCAGTAACACACACATTCACACACACTCACACAGGTGGGCCAATGGGACATTTAGGAGGTGATTAGGCCTCTACCCTCGTGAAAATATTAAAACCACTCATGTGGTTAACGGATGAATAAGTGACTAGGTTATCTGAAGAGTGGGTCTGCTAGGACAGCCAGGTAGGATGGGTCTCTGGGGTGTCCCTGTCTGTCCTGATGTGATGCCCAGGGCCACCTCGTTACTCTGCCCCAGACCGAAGCCGTAAGCCAACAGACACCTCTGCTCTTCGTAACTTAGTGTATGGCATTACGTTACTAGCAACAAAAACGGCCTAAGATATAGCACAGACTAAAACGGCCGGAGTCTTATTTTCCTCACTCTAGATAAGGGTTATTAAAGCATCCAATGATAGAGTAGCCCTGGCTCCCCGACATCCAACCCAGAGCAAGGTTTCCTTCCTTCACATTCTCCCCAAGTTGGTAACAAAGGTAGTGAACAATCCCTAAGACTCTCTTGGTGATTTGCTCTGTGGTTTCTATGGTGTGCACCCTCTGACCCTTGCTACAAGTGGGGACCCACTACAGTGCCTTCCCTGGTGGCCTTTGGCCACGTGACACTGATGTGTCTGTGGATTGGTCAAAGTTGAAATTTTTTTTGGTAAGTTGTTCCGCAATTTGATTTTATAACTTCTCTGTCCCATTGATAGTACTTTGGATGACTCCTATGGGCTGGGTTCCCCTTCCCCGTGCACCGGTGACTGACAACGTCACACCATGCATGGGTCTCAGTCAGCTGTTATTTTCCTCCAGTCCAGGCCACAGAAAAGAAAGGAGTGGAATGCATGCTCGGATCTTTTCTCCGTTCTTTACTTTTTCAGTACCAGAGATCAGACCCAGGGCCTCTGACATAGGAGGCAAGTGCTCTATAATGAGCTACTTCCCCAGTGTGATCTACTCTAATTATCCCCTCTGTTAGACTTTTCCACGGTGCCTCCCCTTTCTGATGGGAAGCTGGAAACACAACCCTCTCTTTGGCATATTTTGACTGCAAGCAACATCATCCTGACCAGTTCCATGCACAACATTTGTTGAGGAAATTATTCTTTCCCACTAAATGATTTTGTGCCCTGGTTGAAAATCAGTGGACCATAAATTTAAGAGATTATTTCTCAGAGGAAACATGTCCCTTTGAATTCACAGGTTCACTTAGGAGCCCTAAAAGGCCACAGCATTGAAATGAGACTAAAGTAGCCCTAGACCAAAGCCCTACACACATGTGCCCTATCACTGGAAAGCACAAAAATCAGAGAGCCTTAATAGAAAGATCAACCAAACTTGCAAGCAACTTAACTGTTGTCAAGAAAAAAGACCACTGCTCCTTAAAGGAATAAACCCCCAGCACTCCATATGCACCATTCAGAGAGAAGAGAAACTGAAAACAATATATCAATGTAAACAAAGGCCTCAAATTTTCACGAATAGAATACTCACCTTTTTCTTCCCTCCTTCCCTCTCTTTTCTCTCTCACACACCCTTGCCTACACAAAGACATATAATAATCAAATAATTGAAAGCTCGGGGTAAAAATTTACAACCAACCAGAGAAAAATACAAAGAAAGAAGTGAAGAAATAATTACAGCAGATTTCCCATAGGAAATTATGGAAGTCACCAAAACTTAAGGTGCAGAATGGAAGAAAACGTTAACCTCGAACTCCTTATGAATTCCAATTCCAATAAAATTTCCTTCTGAAACAAGAGGTGGTAAAAATATTTCCTGATAAACAACAGCTGAGAGTACTTCTCACCGGTATATGTACCCTATGAGAAATGTAGGAGATCGCCAGCAGAGGAAAAACGTACTCTGGAGAAATTTGGACGTACACCAGGGAGTGAGGAGCAGTTCCCCTGCCCCTGGTCTGTGATGCTGACAATAACCCCAGCCAGGCTCAGCGGGGTGCGGGAAAACCTCACCCTGAGCTGCCCGCAGACCTGGGATCCGGGGGTCTTTGAGGATGCAGAGGAGGGAGGAGATGGCCAGCATGGAAACAAATACAAAAAAGTTGATTTTTCTAACAACAAACTCCTTAGAACTTGATGGATTTATAGAAAAATATATTACAGTATTGATAAAAAAATCTGGATTTATCAAAACCACACAAAAGCAGGGTGTGGTGGTGCATGTCTATAATCCCAGCCCTCTGGAGGCTGAGGTGGAAGCATCTATTTCCTCACTGGCCCTCCCAAGCTTTCCATTAGAACCCCAAGGAAGAGCCTGGAGGGGAAGGGCAAGGGACTCTTTTTCAGAGGAAGAGGCAGGGTCAAGCCAACTATCTGCTCCTTGTTCCACAGAGCCGGGCAGGGCTGAGTCTCAGGACACAGAGGCCTGGTGGGTCTTCTTCACCTGTCAGAGAGCTGCAGCCTGGACCTCAGCCCCCCTGTGCTGAGAGGCTCTGTGCACTCAGGAGTCCTCACACCTGTGAGGGAAACGGTGGTGAGGTGAGAGACTTCTGTTGTGGAAGGTTTGGTCTAGGAGGACAAGATGGGTGAAGACACTCAAGGACTGGGGGCTGAAAACCTAGGACACTCTGAGCACGTTCTGCTCACCTGGTGTAGTAGATCCAGGTGAGCCATAGGTGAGAATGAAGCTGGCCCCCATGAGGGTTCCCCTGAGCAGGGTGAGGACTAGGGACCAGCACCCTTGCTGTTCCCCACAGATTTGGGTGCAGGAACAGGAAGTACCTGGGGGAGGGGAAGGGGGAGGATGGGTATGGCTCCCCCAGGTCTGCGGCTCACCCTGCAAGGGGGCCCATCTCATGCTCACCCTGGGCAGCCAGGCGCAGGGAGACGTGGCAGGAGCCCAGCAGGTGAAATCTCCGCCATCCTCTGCAGCCACCTGGGACAGCTCCAGCACCCCAGCATCCAAGGTCTGTGGGGGGCTCAAAGCGAGGTTGCCCTGTGCCCAGCTCATCTCAGCTGGAGGGGGGCTGTCAGTGCCACAGACCAGGCACCGGGACTGGCCCCCTTGGACTCACAGGGTGGTGGCGCTGCCCAGGAGCTGTGGGACCGACCAGGCAGAGAGCCAGAGGGGCAGAACTGAGAGACCCTTCTCCGCCTGTGCCCTCCCTCAGATGCAGGCATGGCAAACAGCATCTCTGCTCAAGCATTGCAAGTGAGGGCAAGGAGGGCCAAGGGCCCATGAGACGGAAGGGTGGGTGGAGGGAGCATAAGACCCCAGCACAGGTGATGGAGATACAAGCAAGAGGTGGCCCATCAACACTCGAGAGAGGACAGGCCAGGACAACGGACCTTGATGTGCAAAACAAGGATTCATGCTGACTCAGGCAGGTTTGACATCTTGGAGGAACCAAGGCAGGTGGTGCCTTTGGGCCTTCTCCCGAGGAGCCGTGGGATGGTTCTGAGCAGGGCAGGGATGGGGTCATACCTGGGTTACAGAGTGATCCCCCTGGCTCTGAGCAGTGGAGAGGGGTCAGAAGGGAGGCTGGAGCAGGTCCTTCCTGATGAGAAGGGCCCAAGGCCCTGATAGAGGAAGGAAGTGATTAGTGACATTTTCCAGAATTCCAGTTTGCAAAACTCACTGACTTGTATTGTTTGGTGAGACCCAGCGGTCTGAAGAGGCTTCCAGGATCTGGACTTAATAACTCAGGGGGATGTGCTCCCAAAGAGAGGGCCTGCCCAGTTGTGGGCACTCAGGCACTGAGGCTTCCGGGACAGTGAGATGGCGCTGTCAGAGGGTTGCTAGAGAATCAGGACAGAAGGAGCCGCAGGAGAGGAAGAAGAGGGATCAGCACACAGGAAGCTACTGGAGGTGAGCTGAGTTGTCATAGGAATTCACAGTGACACTGGAGAGCATCACCCAGCCAGCAGGATGGAGACACCCACTCCCTCCACAGCCCCCATAGGTGAGGGCCCCTCTGACCTGTGCTGTTGGCCCTGAAGACATGGATGGACATGTTCTGCGGTGCATCTGGAACAGAAATCAGTCACTGATTGGTGGGTGGTGGCAATGAGCAGCTTGCCTGCCTGGTGTGTCTCATCTGACCCCAGCCGCACCTCCAGAAAGGGGTCTGAATCCCTGGCCCAGGCTCTCCCTGGCCCCTCACTCCGCTCCTCCCTGGGCCCTGTGTGTTCTGGCCCAGCACTCACAGGCCACACTGAGCTGGACGGTGCTCTCCACTGCCACACTGGCTCCAGGGAAAGTCACTCGGCAGGTGAGGTTGGTGCCATGGTGATGAGGTCCCGGGCTGATGGTGAGCACCGAAGAGCGGGGAGTCTCGGGGCCCAGGGTAGAAGTGAGGTTCACCCCAATCCAGGAGAAAGTGGGGGGTGTCCCCTGCTCACAAGGCCACGGCACTGCACAGGTTATGTTCCCAGGGTGACCAGACTCCAGGGGCCCCGCGATGTGGATGTCAGGAGTCTCTGTTAGAGCCGGGGAGGAGCGAGGCACTGAAGCCCTGGAGGGGACCCCAAGTGTGGCCCTCAGCGCAACAGTCCCAGCTCCGTCATCTCCCTGGCCAGCCCTCTGCCCCGTTCTTTCTGCACCCCCTGAGGAGCAGGGGATCCCAGCCCCACCCTGCTCTGCCCCCAGCCCCCATCTGTGCAGCCCTCTTAGCCTCCCTCCTTACCCATCACAAACACACAGAGCTGGTTCTGTCTGTAATTGTACTGCATGCCACTGCCTCTCTCCACCCTAAAGAAGTAGACTCCTGTGTCCTTGTTGCGCGCATCTCTGATGCGCAGGGAGCAGTTGTAGGTCCTGGGGTCTCCAAGGAGGTGGAATCGGCCCTGGGTCTCTTTCTGCACTTCACGAGATGGGTTATTTGTGGCCACTGGAGGATCCCGGTCATAATTAGCCTCTTTCTTGAACCAGTAGCCCCAGGCTGGGGAAAAGTTGCTCCAGTATCTCCCGGGGTAGGAGACTCTGCAGGGTATGAAGGTGCTCTGTCCCTCCTGCACCACCACGGGCTCTGGCACTGTCAGCTGGTATCCTGGAATATTAGCCAGACACCCTGCGGGAAAGGAGGGTCAGCTCTGTGCAGCCCCCACGGCCCCTCTCCCTGAGCCCACACACCTGCCCACAGCAGGGGCAGCAGCAGAGAGGGCAGCATCTCAGAGCTGGAGGCTGCAGGCTCCTGTGAGTGAGCAGAGAAAGATCTTTGTGTAGAGGAAGTGGCGTGTGACCATGGAAAGTGGGAGGAGCACCAGACCCCAGTGGCTCATAGAAGAGGAACTCAGACCTACATGTGATTGGGGTTTATCCCCTCTGTCAGAAGGGACCGAAACCCTAAAACTGTTACTCAGGGAGCAGAAAAGAGGCAGATGCCATGTTGTTTCCCCAGGTGAAGCACTTCCTGTGGAATCTAGGCCTGGACCAGGCCCTTGGGGATATCTTAGGCAGGTAGCACAGGCAAAAGTTCAAGGTCCTCCCACTCTGAGGTGTTTTTCTGGTCACGGTTTTTGTGTACCAGGAGCTGGGCACCTCCTGTCTGGCTGAGGAGAGTCAGCTCCCTAGTCCTCAGGGTGGTTGGCCCTGCAGGACACAGGGTTTGGTAGGGTCTGTGTGAGCGAGAGTGAGGAGAGGTCCCAGGTGAAGAGAAGGCAGCGTCTACTCACTGATGCATTCATTCATGCACTCATTCATTCACGCATTCAGCAAACATGCAGTGAGCTGTAGGATTGGTGAGGCAGGAGACAAGCAGGACAGCACTGCTGGGGTCCCTGCCCTGAGATGCAGGATCCTCAGGACCACACCAGACACATAAGCTGCCTGTGAGCTTGCCACAGGCCATGGCGATGCATTAGGTATTTTGACAAATTCTCAGCATGGAATTGTTTCTCTGTCATCTACTCCACCAGCTTCCAGAGTGTCAGTGACACTTCCAGAATAAGAGCCATGCGGCATCCTCATGAAAATGGACACATGTTCTTTTCTTTTTCTTTTTTTGAGACAAGAGTCTCACTATGTAGCTCTAGCTGGTCTTCAACTCACTATGTAGCCCAGACTGGCCTCAAAGTCACAGTGATCCTCCTGCCTCAGCCTCCTGAGTGCTGGGATTACAGGTTTGCTCCACCACACCCGGCAGGACACATGTTCTTAATTGCAGATGAAACTTCTCCACTTTCCTGCCATTGGTGTGCTGTAAACAGTGGTGATTTTCAGTCTGTTCCTATCTTACAGATGAGTTCTTCCTTTCACATAGCAAATCTGCTTCCCACAGTTTTATGTGCCTCAGAAGACATATTTTCAACCAATATGAGGTGATTATATAAATTCTTTTTTGTTTGGTTTGTGTTGTTTTCCATCTTACTCAGTACAGTCTTTACAGTGGCTTCACCAACAGGCATAATGCGTTGGGGGTCATCGTGTGATGGGGTGTGTATCATACTGTGTTCCTTTTAATTACTGAAGGTATCACTCTGTTCCCATGAACCATCTTTTTGTTTTGTTTTGTTTTGTTTTGTTTTTGGTGCTGGGGATCGAACTCGGGACCTTGTGCTTGTGAGGCAGGTGACAGAACCACTGAGCTAAATCCCCAGCCCTGAACCATCTTTTTGTATACACTGACAGGCCGAGGAGCATTTGGATTGTTTTCAGATTTTGGCGACTGTGAAATAAAGTTGCCATAAATATGCCATGCAGGTTTTTGTGTGGACGTGTTTGGACTACACTTGGGTGAATACTTCTCTGGGGCTGCCTGATCAAATGATGAGTGTAAGCTTACATGTGTACAAAATTTCCAAACTCGTCTCCAAAGTGGTCGCACCATTCTGTGTTCTCATAACACTCTATGTGCTCTCTGTACTTGCTTCATATCCTCTTTGGCATTTGGCAGTGTCAGGATTTTTAAATTTTATTTTTGTTCTTAGCCATTCTAATTAGCATGTGTTGCTACCCTGTAATTTCTGACTTTAACCTGCAATTTCATAATGGTAAATGATGTCGAACATGTTTTTAACTTGTTATTAGTCATTCATTTTTGACCTCTGGTGACAAAGATGGTCAAATACTTGGTTACTTTTGTAGGTACTAAGGTAAAATGAATGGGAAGTGTTTAGCATTCTAATTGTTTTGAATGTACAGGTTGGTGGCATTAACCACTTTCACACTGCTGTGCAGTCATTGCCAAGACCCTTCTCCAGAGAGGAGCTCCGGCCCCTTAGAAGATACCGGTCTATTTCCCCTGCCCCTGACAACAAGCACTGTACTTCCTGTGTTGAAGAATTTGCCAATCTAAGTGTCTCCTATGAGTGGAATCAGATACTTATCTGTCCTTTTGTGACTGACTTATTGCACTTATTCTGGGTCCATCCTTGACATAGCTCATGCTGAATAATAGTGTATAGCACGTTTTTTTTAACCTGTGCTTCTATTGATGGCCACTTTTGTTGCTCCCCGCTCTTAGCTATTGTGAATAGTGCTACTCTGACCATGGATGCATAAAAATTGCCTCCTCAAGCCCTTGTCAATTCTTTGAGGTCTAATGGTGAGAACTGCTTGATCATATGATCATTCTATTTTTAATTTTTTGAGGAACCCCTGTACTGTTTTCATAGCAGTTGTACAATTTTACATTCTCAGCAATAATGCTAAGAGTTCTAGTTCCTTCTCATCCTCCTCAACACTTGTAATTTCTCATTATTAAAAATAACAACATCAGCAATGGGTATAGAGTGGAATCTCATTTTTACTGCATATATTTCAGATGACATGATATTTTGGTATTGTGGATCTGATTTGCATTTCTCTAGTAATTAGTGATGTTGAACATTTTGTCACGTGACTATACTTTGTCCTTTTCTAAACACAGATTTTTGTTTCTTTTCTTGTCCAGAAAAAAACTGGGATTTTTTTCATTTTCTTGTTTTTCAGATTGTTTTTGTTTTGAAAGTCCTTGGTATGCTCTTGATACAAGATATCCTCTAGTTATAGATATTTTCCCATCGTGTGTGCATTTTCTTTTCTCTTTTTCAGGGCACAAGGGCTGCACCCCCCAAATGTGTGCTACCCATGGCAACACCGTCATGTGTGTGAGGATGCGGAGGAGCAGAGCGAAGATGAGGACAGGAGATGAGGTCTGGGGCACATGGGCGTTCAGAAGGTCATGCAGCTGCTCAGCAGGCAGAGCAGAGTCCCCAGGGGAACTCAGGCCTCAGCTGCCAGAGCTGTGGGTGCTACTTGTGAGTCTTTGCAGATGTGATGGAGTCAGGGCCTGAACCAGTGAGGCTCACCCCGGATCACCCAGTTGGCTCCTCGATCCAATCCCAGGTGCCCTTGTACTGGGCAAGCAGAGGAGGTTTTCCTGCATATTGAGGAGGACGGGGCCAATGAACACAGAAGCAGGGGCTGGTGTGACACAGCCAGCAGTCCAGCGGACAGCAGCCTCACATTCCTGGAGAAGCCAGCATTGGCCCCTGGCCCCCAGGTCCCTACTTGGGGCACTGCCCATGGAACTCTTAGATTTGGACCCTGGAAGAAATGACTTCAGCATTTTGCCACCCAGAACTGTGAGGGAATGTCTTTTTTTTTTCCCCCAAAGCAGGGCTTTTATTAAGAGACAGAGCTGCCGGGCTGTCTCAAACAATGGCGAGAGCAGCAACCAGGGGCTGGCTGGGTGAGGTTTATAGGGGCTGGGGGAGTGTGGTGGATGCAGACGATTGGCTACAACTGGGGGTGAGGTGGGAAAGAGCAGGTCTTTGTTCTCTCTGGAATGACTCTTTCCCTGTAGGCA